AGCAACCGACATGTAAATAAGAAATCATACAAACGGATGAAATATTACAGACCTCTCTCAAAGGTAAAGATGTCTTTAAGCTCCGCAATCCAATAATTCTAACGGATATGCCATTTCAATTCAAAAGATTGCAATTCACAATTCTATTGGCGTCTGCAATCACCATCTAAAGTGAGCTTAGTTCAATATTTAGGATACTGTGGTTCAACTCTCAACACAGATAATCTTCCACATGAACAACTATATGTTACTTGTTCTATAGTCCACAAATCGAACAATATATATCTACACTCGCAATGGAATAATAAAATAAAATTATTGATAAAATTTATCAATATATGGAAAGCGTGCTTTCTCATTGCTTTCTTTTCCATTCAATCAAACAGCCATGCAAACGCGTATAGCTACTTTTATTAAATATTATATGTATACAACTTTAACAAATTTTATTAAATTAAATGACGTTTATTATTTAAATATATTAAATTAAAGATTTATTTCAAATGACATCGATAACGATCCTCGCCATCGCTATGTTGACATTGTTTATAATTTTATGAACTGATCAGATGAATTGATTTCTTAGGAGGTCTTATCTATGGCTTAGTGAGAAATGATCATTCGAAGTGATAGTAAAGATTTCAAGTTAGTATAATGGCATTCATTGGCTTGACTTGACCTTGACTTGACCTTGACTTGACCTTGACCTGACCTCAGTACTATACTTGAGCAGTGATCAATTGTCTATCAATTGTCTGTTTAAAATAACATTCAAATTAAAAATGTATAATGTGAAAAAAATATATATTTTATATTAAGTTCATTTTATACCACATCCAATACATTTATGAATCCTATTAAAACCGAATCCTATTAAAATTCATTTTAAATGAAACAACTAGAAAACTTACTAATACAGAAATTTAATCAACTTTATCAGCCTCTGATTAAAAATCGTATATAGCGATTACAATATTTAACTCACATCGTTGCCTGTACAAATAATTAATCTCCATCTTAAAAAAATTTCAAATAAAATATCTTATTTTCAGGAAAAAGTTGAAACTTTTACAAACGAAAAAGTAAGAACACAATAGAATCATCATAAAGTTGTAATTGATTAAATTTATTAAATTAACAAAGTTCACTGTATAAAAAACATATTTTAAATATTTCTTATTTAAAAATTTATTCTAAAATGTAATTTTGTATTTCAATTTAAATAATACACATTTTTAATTAATTTTATTTTAGATTTTTCTTATTGTACATTATTATACTAATAACATTAGAAATAGTTTATTAATTAATTTTCAATATTTTAACGATCAACACTTTTTTAAGTAAAACACTGATCGGTTCGAATCAAACAGGGTTATTCACGATCTTGTTTATCGAATAATACCCCTACCATATATTAAAAAAATATCATTTAGTAACGGCGATTAAAACCACCACCCCTTTTAAAATCTGTTCCACGTCTTTCTTTCATCTTGTCAAAACGATTGGACATTCTGTATAGTTCTTCTGGAGCTGCTTGACCAGCTTCTTCTAAAATACGAATGAGATCCTTTGCAACACCCCAATCTGAGCGTGTTATATAACTTATGGCAGTGCCAGTTCGCCCAGCGCGTCCAGTTCTACCAACACGATGAACATACTCCTCAATATTACGCGGAAAATCAAAATTAATAACATGACTAAATGAAAAACAATTAATACAACAAATTCGGTTTCAAATACTACTAAGCACTTACGTAATATCCTCAATATCTAAACCTCTTGAAGCAACATCTGTCGCTATCAAAACCTGTATATCACCTGACGCTATATCAGCCAGTGCTTGTTCTCGATCGGTCTAAAGACAATTTTTTTTAAGTTTATAAGAATTTTATATTCTGAGACATTACTCTAATTAAGTTAATGCATTATGTACCTGATCACGAGAACCATGTATACATTGTGTTGACAGGCCTTTTAGAGATAAATCACTGGACAAATCGTCAGCACGAGCTCGCTTAGAACAGAAGATAATAACCTTATCGGTTGATTTAAGGTTTTTTAAAAATGCAAGGACCTGCAACAAGAATAAATACATTGTTCTTCATAATTCTTCTTATTTAAGTTTTCAAATAATATTACCGTATTAAATTTGTCCGCATCCTCCAAGAGTTCTACATTTTGACTCACAGTATGAGTGGCAGTTAAATCAAGCGAACCAACACACACTTGAATAGGATTGTTCATATAACTTTCGGCCAATCTACCAACACTTGGTGGCCAGGTGGCACTAGTCATGACGGTCTGCCTGTCAGGACGTATGTCGAGTAGAATTTTTCGGATCTGTGGCTCGAAACCCATATCCAGCATACGATCCGCTTCGTCTAGTATTAAATATGTAACTGATGTAATGTCTATAACTTTAGCTTGAACCAAATCATTAAGACGTCCAGGAGTACAAATAACGCATTCAGCTCCTTCTTTGAAAACACTAATTTGGTCACGACGATTCCCACCACCATAAATGCATACACTGAATAAGAATTTCATAATTTTTTTCTTCATTCATTTTAAACTATGGTTTAACTATTTCCTAACTTACGCTTTTATTCCACGGAACGAGTACTTGTTAACTTCTTTTGCTATTTGTAATGCTAATTCTCGCGTTGGCGCTAAAATTAATATATTTGGACCATTACGTTTCTCACGTGGTGTAGTCTGTCCATCAGTATGAATCAAAGCAGGAAGCAGAAATGCTAAAGTTTTTCCAGTCCCTGTTTGGGCTATACCTATCATATCCTCGCCTCTCAATAATATAGGCCATGCTTGCTTCTGTATTGGTGATGGTTCATTAAAATTTTGTTTCTTTAACTCATCAAGGATATCAGGATAATCTTTGAAACAATGTTGAAATTTCCAAATTGGTTTCGGTATATCAGGACACATTTGATCTTCATTTGTCACCAAACGGGAAACACTTATATTATTGTTTAAATAACGCATTTCATTCACTTCTTCTTCTGTCTTAATAGCGACTTCCTCTACTTCTTCATAAAAATTTTTTCTCAAGTCTGGCAGATGCGCCCAGTGTAACCTACGATGTTCTTCCTGTAATCAAAAATGCCTCATGTGAGCAAAATAAATATGGTAAATCGATAACTTAATATGTAGATTTTAAAAATTTTTCTTACAACTTTTCTATTCAAAGTTTCCCAATCGATAGGCTGCAATACTACATGGTTTTCGGCGCCACCATTATATACATTTTTCGTAGGCGCATTTAATCTAATTCCACCACTTTCTCCCTAAATCAATTTTGTTATGAGATATTATATTAATATATATCCATATTCTCCTTCTTTTTAATTTATACTTACAGATTTTGGAGCTGCAACCTGAATATTGTCATTTTCGGAAGAAGCATTAAAACGATTCATTGTATTTTCTTTTAATACAACTTTGGGATTGTGCGAGACTTCGTGATTTGGAAATGAAAAATTTCTATTTTCTTGACCAGACATAATATCACGAATATATTTGACTGCATCGTCAACATTTTTTCTATTACGACCCTTGACAGAAATTTCCTTGGTGTCATTGTTTATATGTATATAAACGTTGAAGTTTGTTCTAATTTCTTTAATTTTACAACCGCCACGACCAATTATGGCACCAATGTAAGCAGGGTCTGCAGGAAATTTCTCCATAAAATCATCAAAATGATTTAAGTTTGAGTTTAAAACTCCACACTCGTTCCTTTCAGATTGAGTTGCACCAGTTCCAAAAGTATCCATTTTGAAGTAAGCAAAATCTAAATAAAGGAATACCTGATTATTCCGTTTTCTATAAAACGAACCAAATTTCAAACATTCAAATCGCGACCGCTTTTACGAACTCCTCAATCATAAGATATGAAACGGTATTTAAAATTGACTATTAGAATTAAAAATATGTTTAACATTGATTATTAGGGAATAAAGCAATTGCACTCTTATGTTTAAAGTATGTCGAAAATAATACTGCCGCCGCCTTCTTAAGTCTCATCACGCAATGATTCTTATATAAATATTTCAAATGGAGATTTTTTTTGCAAATACGTCACATAACCTTAAATATATGTGAATTGCAGTGATTTTTTTTTATAGTTAATTTTTGTTTTTTAATTATAGTTTTAAAATTCTTTAAATAAAGAAACAATGATTTCTTTAAAACTTTTTGTTTAATATGTGCATTATATTTGCAGTTATTTCTTGGAACAAGCAAAATTGGCGGCTGTTTCAAGTTCTTGTCGGTTGCGAAAACAAATCAAAAATTCTTAATACTATAAAATATTTTTAACAAGTTTCAGAATTAATTGAAAAAAGTTGAACATATATTCGAACTGAAGTCATGAAACACGTATCAAGTATCACGAATCACGAATCATGAATCACGAAACACGAATTTTTTGGAGGAAGATACATACCAGCCTTAAAACCAAATCCAATTGAAAAAACACAAGCCGCTAAAAAAACGATCCGACCACCGACTCGGCTCTTGCAAAAGTAACCAATGAACAAGAAAACTTGTGTCGTTCTTTCAAAATTAATATAAATACATTTGGCAGCCCATACTCAAATTTGCGTGATGTAACTATATTAATTTGGTTTAGACTTTTTGGACACAAATGAATTTCACAAGGGGATAAATCGGATTAGCACACTATTTAATAGGTAAGCCCACATACTATTTTCATACTACATGTGTTAAATTATAAAAGTTTACAAAGTTCTGACATATTCATATCAAATTCATATAATCATATCAAATTCAATTCATAAAATTACGGTTACATTGATAAGAACAATGTACCGATTAGCATTCTGAGAAGAGCGTCTCAGAAGAACCTATACACTAATAACTCGATTAACAGCTACTTCGTACAACAGTAACCTCGATTAACGACCCAGCTGTATTTCTGATCGTGTTTTGCTTAACAGTGAAGAAAACGACAAACATGTCTTTTATAATGCAAGTAAGAGCTGGTTTGAGAATCAATATACCATAAAACTTTCTGCAAAAGGTACAACATTAAAAATGTCATACTAATGTCAAACAGAGATCAGTCGTGGAAAGAAACAAAAATGTGATCTCTTAAGAAATTTTGGAAGCACTTACGTCTGGAATACGTCGTCAAAACCCTGTGCCTGTACCTGATACCAACGTAAATGAAAAATCTGCTAAATTTGCAGAGAAAGAGGCAACTAGAGATCTCAAAATTAAAGATCTATTTCGTCAGAGTAGCTCGGATTGTTTTTGAGTTCATTATATTAATAATTATGTTAATGATTTTTTATATATTTTGTGCAATAGGCGGTGATTTATTCAAAATATATCGTTTGGTTTTCCCTTTTGTGTCTATTGATTTATCAATGGCCAATCTTTTGTCGCGAGTGTTATAAAATATTGAAAAATAATTTCATTCTAAAATGATAATGATAAATGCTACATCATTTTGAAGAGCTACTCAATTCACTTTGAAATTCTGTTAATTAGCAACCGACATGTAAATAAGAAATCATACAAACGGATTAAATATCAAACAGAATTTTTTAATTCACTCTAACCGTAATCGACTCTACCCCATTTACTGTGATTGAAAATCGTAGTATCAATTATCATATATCACAATATTATATTAATCATACAAATATTACAGACCTCTCTCAAAGGTAAAGATGTCTTTAATCTCCGCAATCCAATAATTCTAACGGATATGCCATTTCAATTCAAAAGATTGCAATTCACAATTCTATTGGCGTCTGCAATCACCATCTAAAGCGAGCTTAGTTCAATATTTAGGATACTGTGGTTCAACTCTCAACACAGATAATCTTCCACATGAACAACTATATGTTACTTGTTCTATAGTCCACAAATCGAACAATATATATCTACACTCGCAATGGAATAATAAAATAAAATTATTGATAAAATTTATCAATATTTGGAAAGCGTGCTTTCTAATTTCTTTCTTTTCCATTTAATCAGACAGCCATGTTAACACGTATCTGCGTATAGCTGCTTTTATTAAATATTATATGTATACAACTTTAACAAATTTTATTAAATTAAATGACGTTTATTATTTAAATTAATTAAATTAAAGATTTATTTCAAATGACATCGATAACGATCTTCGCTGATCAGATGAATTGATTTCTTAGGAGGTCTTATCTATGGCTTAGTGAGAAATGATCATTCGAAGTGATAGTAAAGATTTCAAGTTAGTATAATGGCATTCATTGGCTTGACTTGACCTTGACTTGACTACAGTACTATACTTGAGCAGTGATCAATTGTCTATCAATTGTCTGTTTAAAATAACATTCAAATTAAAAATGTATAATGTGAAAAAAATATATATTTTATATTAAGTTCATTTTATACCTCATCCAATACATTTATGAATCCTATTAAAACTGAATCCTATTAAAATTCATTTTAAATGAAACAACTAGAAAACTTACTAATACAGAAATTTAATCAACTTTATCAGCCTCTGATTAAAAATCGTATATAGCGATTACAACATTTAACTCACATCGTTGCCTGTACAAATAATTAATCTCCATCTTAAAAAAATTTCAAATAAAATATCTTATTTTCAGGAAAAAGTTGAAACTTTTACAAACGAAAAAGTAAGAACACAATAGAATCATCATAAAGTTGTAATTGATTAAATTTATTAAATTAACAAAGTTCACTGTATAAAAAACATATTTTAAATATTTCTTATTTAAAACCTTATTCTAAAATGTAATTTTGTATTTCAATTTAAATAATACACATTTTTAATTAATTTTATTTTAGATTTTTCTTATTGTACATTATTATACTAATAACATTAGAAATAGTTTGTTAATTAATTTTCAATTTTAACGATCAACACTTTTTTAAGTAAAACACTGATCGGTTCGAATCAAACAGGGTTATTCACGATCTTGTTTATCGAATAATACCCCTACCATATTTTAAAAAAATATCATTTAGTAACGGCGATTAAAACCACCACCCCTTTTAAAATCTGTACCACGTCTTTCTTTCATCTTCTCAAAACGATTGGACATTCTGTATAGTTCTTCTGGAGCTGCTTGACCAGCTTCTTCTAAAATACGAATGAGATCCTTTGCAACACCCCAATCCGAGCGTGTTATATAACTTATGGCAGTGCCAGTTCGCCCAGCGCGTCCAGTTCTACCAACACGATGAACATACTCCTCAATATTACGCGGAAAATCAAAATTAATAACATGACTAAATGAAAAACAATTAATACAACAAATTCGGTTTCAAATACTACTAAGCACTTACGTAATATCCTCAATATCTAAACCTCTTGAAGCAACATCTGTCGCTATCAAAACCTGTATATCACCTGACGCTATATCAGCCAGTGCTTGTTCTCGATCGGTCTAAAGACAATTTTTTTTAAGTTTATAAGAATTTTATATTCTGAGACATTACTCTAATTAAGTTAATGCATTATGTACCTGATCACGAGAACCATGTATACATTGTGTTGACAGGCCTTTTAGAGATAAATCACTGGACAAATCGTCAGCACGAGCTCGCTTAGAACAGAAGATAATAACCTTATCGGTTGATTTAAGGTTTTTTAAAAATGCAAGGACCTGCAACAAGAATAAATACATTGTTCTTCATAATTCTTCTTATTTAAGTTTTCAAATAATATTACCGTATTAAATTTGTCCGCATCCTCCAAGAGTTCTACATTTTGACTCACAGTATGAGTGGCAGTTAAATCAAGCGAACCAACACACACTTGAATAGGATTGTTCATATAACTTTCGGCCAATCTACCAACACTTGGTGGCCAGGTGGCACTAGTCATGACGGTCTGCCTGTCAGGACGTATGTCGAGTAGAATTTTTCGGATCTGTGGCTCGAAACCCATATCCAGCATACGATCCGCTTCGTCTAGTATTAAATATGTAACTGATGTAATGTCTATAACTTTAGCTTGAACCAAATCATTAAGACGTCCAGGAGTACAAATAACGCATTCAGCTCCTTCTTTGAAAACACTAATTTGGTCACGACGATTCCCACCACCATAAATGCATACACTGAATAAGAATTTCATAATTTTTTTCTTCATTCATTTTAAACTATGGTTTAACTATTTCCTAACTTACGCTTTTATTCCACGGAACGAGTACTTGTTAACTTCTTTTGCTATTTGTAATGCTAATTCTCGCGTTGGCGCTAAAATTAATATATTTGGACCATTACGTTTCTCACGTGGTGTAGTCTGTCCATCAGTATGAATCAAAGCAGGAAGCAGAAATGCTAAAGTTTTTCCAGTCCCTGTTTGGGCTATACCTATCATATCCTCGCCTCTCAATAATATAGGCCATGCTTGCTTCTGTATTGGTGATGGTTCATTAAAATTTTGTTTCTTTAACTCATCAAGGATATCAGGATAATCTTTGAAACAATGTTGAAATTTCCAAATTGGTTTCGGTATATCAGGACACATTTGATCTTCATTTGTCACCAAACGGGAAACACTTATATTATTGTTTAAATAACGCATTTCATTCACTTCTTCTTCTGTCTTAATAGCGACTTCCTCTACTTCTTCATAAAAATTTTTTCTCAAGTCTGGCAGATGCGCCCAGTGTAACCTACGATGTTCTTCCTGTAATCAAAAATGCCTCATGTGAGCAAAATAAATATGGTAAATCGATAACTTAATATGTAGATTTTAAAAATTTTTCTTACAACTTTTCTATTCAAAGTTTCCCAATCGATAGGCTGCAATACTACATGGTTTTCGGCGCCACCATTATATACATTTTTCGTAGGCGCATTTAATCTAATTCCACCACTTTCTCCCTAAATCAATTTTGTTATGAGATATTATATTAATATATATCCATATTCTCCTTCTTTTTAATTTATACTTACAGATTTTGGAGCTGCAACCTGAATATTGTCATTTTCGGAAGAAGCATTAAAACGATTCATTGTATTTTCTTTTAATACAACTTTGGGATTGTGCGAGACTTCGTGATTTGGAAATGAAAAATTTCTATTTTCTTGACCAGACATAATATCACGAATATATTTGACTGCATCGTCAACATTTTTTCTATTACGACCCTTGACAGAAATTTCCTTGGTGTCATTGTTTATATGTATATAAACGTTGAAGTTTGTTCTAATTTCTTTAATTTTACAACCGCCACGACCAATTATGGCACCAATGTAAGCAGGGTCTGCAGGAAATTTCTCCATAAAATCATCAAAATGATTTAAGTTTGAGTTTAAAACTCCACACTCGTTCCTTTCAGATTGAGTTGCACCAGTTCCAAAAGTATCCATTTTGAAGTAAGCAAAATCTAAATAAAGGAATACCTGATTATTCCGTTTTCTATAAAACGAACCAAATTTCAAACATTCAAATCACGACCGCTTTTACGAACTCCTCAATCATAACATATGAAACGGTATTTAAAATTGACTATTAAAATTAAAAATATGTTTTTTAACATTGATTATTAGGGAATAAAGCAATTGCACTCTTATGTTTAAAGTATGTCGAAAATAATACTGCCGCCGCCTTCTTAAGTCTCATCACGCAATGATTCTTATATAAATATTTCAAATGGAGATTTTTTTTGCAAATACGTCACATAACCTTAAATATATGTGAATTGCAGTGATTTTTTTTTATAGTTAATTTTTGTTTTTTAATTATAGTTTTAAAATTCTTTAAATAAAGAAACAATGATTTCTTTAAAACTTTTTGTTTAATATGTGCATTATATTTGCAGTTATTTCTTGGAACAAGCAAAATTGGCGGCTGTTTCAAGTTCTTGTCGGTTGCGAAAACAAATCAAAAATTCTTAATACTATAAAATATTTTTAACAAGTTCCAGAATTAATTGAAAAAAGTTGAACATATATTCGAACTGAAGTCATGAAACACGTATCAAGTATCACGAATCACGAATCATGAATCACGAAACACGAATTTTTTGGAGGAAGATACATACCAGCCTTAAAACCAAATCCAATTGAAAAAACACAAGCCGCTAAAAAAACGATCCGACCACCGACTCGTCTCTTGCAAAAGTAACCAATGAACAAGAAAACTTGTGTCGTTCTTTCAAAATTAATATAAATACATTTGGCAGCCCATACTCAAATTTGCGTGATGTAACTATATTAATTTGGTTTAGACTTTTTGGACACAAATGAATTTCACAAGGGGATAAATCGGATTAGCACACTATTTAATAGGTAAGCCCACATACTATTTTCATACTACATGTGTTAAATTATAAAAGTTTACAAAGTTCTGACATGTTCATATCAAATTCATATAATCATATCAAATTCAATTCATAAAATTACGGTTACATTGATAAGAACAATGTACCGATTAGCATTCTGAGAAGAGCGTCTCAGAAGAACCTATACACTAATAACTCGATTAACAGCTACTTCGTACAACAGTAACCTCGATTAACGACCCAGCTGTATTTCTGATCGTGTTTTGCTTAACAGTGAAGAAAACGACAAACATGTCTTTTATAATGCAAGTAAGAGCTGGTTTGAGAATCAATATACCATAAAACTTTCTGCAAAAGGTACAACATTAAAAATGTCATACTAATGTCAAACAGAGATCAGTCGTGGAAAGAAACAAAAATGTGATCTCTTAAGAAATTTTGGAAGCACTTACGTCTGGAATACGTCGTCAAAACCCTGTGCCTGTACCTGATACCAACGTAAATGAAAAATCTGCTAAATTTGCGGAGAAAGAGGCAACTAGAGATCTCAAAATTAAAGATCTATTTCGTCAGAGTAGCTCGGATTGTTTTTGAGTTCATTATATTAATAATTATGTTAATGATTTTTTATATATTTTGTGCAATAGGCGGTGATTTATTCAAAATATATCGTTTGGTTTTCCCTTTTGTGTCTATTGATTTGTCAATGGCCAATCTTTTGTCGCGAGTGTTATAAAATATTGAGAAATAATTTCATTCCAAAATGATAATGATAAATGCTACATCATTTTGAAGAGCTACTCAATTCACTTTGAAATTCTGTTAATTAGCAACCGACATGTAAATAAGAAATCATACAAACGGATTAAATATCAAACAGAATTTTTTAATTCACTCTAACCGTAATCGACTCTACCCCATTTACTGTGATTGAAAATCGGAGTATCAATTATCATATATCACAATATTATATTAATCATACAAATATTACAGACCTCTCTCAAAGGTAAAGATGTCTTTAATCTCCGCAATCCAATAATTCTAACGGATATGCCATTTCAATTCAAAAGATTGCAATTCACAATTCTATTGGCGTCTGCAATCACCATCTAAAGCGAGCTTAGTTCAATATTTAGGATACTGTGGTTCAACTCTCAACACAGATAAAAATTTATCAATATTTGGAAAGCGTGCTTTCTCATTTCTTTCTTTTCCATTTAATCAGACAGCCATGGAAACATGTATCTGCGTATAGCTACTTTTATTAAATATTTCATATAAGATTATATAAATATGTATACAACTTTAACAAATTTTATTAAATTAAATGACGTTTATTATTTAAATTAATTAAATTAAAGATTTATTTCAAATGACATCGATAACGATCTTCGCCATCGCTATGTTGACATTGTTTATAATTTTATGAACTGATCAGATGAATTTATTTCTTAGGAGGTCTTATCTATGGCTTAGTGAGAAATGATCATTCGAAGTGATAGTAAAGATTTCAAGTTAGTATAATGGCATTCATTGGCTTGACTTGACCTTGACTTGACTACAGTACTATACTTAAGCAGTGATCAATTGTCTATCAATTGTCTGTTTAAAATAACATTCAAATTAAAAATGTATAATGTGAAATAAATATATATTTTATATTAAGTTCATTTTATACCTCATCCAAATACATTTATGAATCCCATTAAAACTAATTCATTTTAAATGGAACAACTAGAAAACTTACTAATACAGAAATTTAATCGACTTTATCAGCCTCTGATTAAAAATCGTATATAGCGATTACAATATTTAACTCACATCATTGCCTGTACAAATAATTAATCTCCATCTTAAAAAAATTTCAAATAAAATATCTTATTTTCAGGAAAAAGTTGAAACTTTTACAAACGAAAAAGTAAGAACACAATAGAATCATCATAAAGTTGTAATTGATTAAATTTATTAAATTAACAAAGTTCACTGTATAAAAAACATATTTTAAATATTTCTTCTTTAAAACCTTATTCTAAAATGTAATTTTGTATTTCAATTTAAATAATACACATTTTTAATTAATTTTATTTTAGATTTTTCTTATTGTACATTATTATACTAATAACATTAGAAATAGTTTATTAATTAATTTTCAATATTTTAACGATCAACACTTTTTTAAGTAAAACACTGATCGGTTCGAATCAAACAGGGTTATTCACGATCTTGTTTATCGAATAATACCCCTACCATATATTAAAAAAATATCATTTAGTAACGGCGATTAAAACCACCACCCCTTTTAAAATCTGTTCCACGTCTTTCTTTCATCTTGTCAAAACGATTGGACATTCTGTATAGTTCTTCTGGAGCTGCTTGACCAGCTTCTTCTAAAATACGAATGAGATCCTTTGCAACACCCCAATCTGAGCGTGTTATATAACTTATGGCAGTGCCAGTTCGCCCAGCGCGTCCAGTTCTACCAACACGATGAACATACTCCTCAATATTACGCGGAAAATCAAAATTAATAACATGACTAAATGAAAAACAATTAATACAACAAATTCGGTTTCAAATACTACTAAGCACTTACGTAATATCCTCAATATCTAAACCTCTTGAAGCAACATCTGTCGCTATCAAAACCTGTATATCACCTGACGCTATATCAGCCAGTGCTTGTTCTCGATCGGTCTAAAGACAATTTTTTTTAAGTTTATAAGAATTTTATATTCTGAGACATTACTCTAATTAAGTTAATGCATTATGTACCTGATCACGAGAACCATGTATACATTGTGTTGACAGGCCTTTTAGAGATAAATCACTGGACAAATCGTCAGCACGAGCTCGCTTAGAACAGAAGATAATAACCTTATCGGTTGATTTAAGGTTTTTTAAAAATGCAAGGACCTGCAACAAGAATAAATACATTGTTCTTCATAATTCTTCTTATTTAAGTTTTCAAATAATATTACCGTATTAAATTTGTCCGCATCCTCCAAGAGTTCTACATTTTGACTCACAGTATGAGTGGCAGTTAAATCAAGCGAACCAACACACACTTGAATAGGATTGTTCATATAACTTTCGGCCAATCTACCAACACTTGGTGGCCAGGTGGCACTAGTCATGACGGTCTGCCTGTCAGGACGTATGTCGAGTAGAATTTTTCGGATCTGTGGCTCGAAACCCATATCCAGCATACGATCCGCTTCGTCTAGTATTAAATATGTAACTGATGTAATGTCTATAACTTTAGCTTGAACCAAATCATTAAGACGTCCAGGAGTACAAATAACGCATTCAGCTCCTTCTTTGAAAACACTAATTTGGTCACGACGATTCCCACCACCATAAATGCATACACTGAATAAGAATTTCATAATTTTTTTTCTTCATTCATTTTAAACTATGGTTTAACTATTTCCTAACTTACGCTTTTATTCCACGGAACGAGTACTTGTTAACTTCTTTTGCTATTTGTAATGCTAATTCTCGCGTTGGCGCTAAAATTAATATATTTGGACCATTACGTTTCTCACGTGGTGTAGTCTGTCCATCAGTATGAATCAAAGCAGGAAGCAGAAATGCTAAAGTTTTTCCAGTCCCTGTTTGGGCTATACCTATCATATCCTCGCCTCTCAATAATATAGGCCATGCTTGCTTCTGTATTGGTGATGGTTCATTAAAATTTTGTTTCTTTAACTCATCAAGGATATCAGGATAATCTTTGAAACAATGTTGAAATTTCCAAATTGGTTTCGGTATATCAGGACACATTTGATCTTCATTTGTCACCAAACGGGAAACACTTATATTATTGTTTAAATAACGCATTTCATTCACTTCTTCTTCTGTCTTAATAGCGACTTCCTCTACTTCTTCATAAAAATTTTTTCTCAAGTCTGGCAGATGCGCCCAGTGTAACCTACGATGTTCTTCCTGTAATCAAAAATGCCTCATGTGAGCAAAATAAATATGGTAAATCGATAACTTAATATGTAGATTTTAAAAATTTTTCTTACAACTTTTCTATTCAAAGTTTCCCAATCGATAGGCTGCAATACTACATGGTTTTCGGCGCCACCATTATATACATTTTTCGTAGGCGCATTTAATCTAATTCCACCACTTTCTCCCTAAATCAATTTTGTTATGAGATATTATATTAATATATATCCATATTCTCCTTCTTTTTAATTTATACTTACAGATTTTGGAGCTGCAACCTGAATATTGTCATTTTCGGAAGAAGCATTAAAACGATTCATTGTATTTTCTTTTAATACAACTTTGGGATTGTGCGAGACTTCGTGATTTGGAAATGAAAAATTTCTATTTTCTTGACCAGACATAATATCACGAATATATTTGACTGCATCGTCAACATTTTTTCTATTACGACCCTTGACAGAAATTTCCTTGGTGTCATTGTTTATATGTATATAAACGTTGAAGTTTGTTCTAATTTCTTTAATTTTACAACCGCCACGACCAATTATGGCACCAATGTAAGCAGGGTCTGCAGGAAATTTCTCCATAAAATCATCAAAATGATTTAAGTTTGAGTTTAAAACTCCACACTCGTTCCTTTCAGATTGAGTTGCACCAGTTCCAAAAGTATCCATTTTGAAGTAAGCAAAATCTAAATAAAGGAATACCTGATTATTCCGTTTTCTATAAAACGAACCAAATTTCAAACATTCAAATCGCGACCGCTTTTACGAACTCCTCAATCATAAGATATGAAACGGTATTTAAAATTGACTATTAGAATTAAAAATATGTTTTTTAACATTGATTATTAGGGAATAAAGCAATTGCACTCTTATGTTTAAAGTATGTCGAAAATAATACTGCCGCCGCCTTCTTAAGTCTCATCACGCAATGATTCTTATATAAATATTTCAAATGGAGATTTTTTTTGCAAATACGTCACATAACCTTAAATATATGTGAATTGCAGTGATTTTTTTTTTATAGTTAATTTTTGTTTTTTAATTATAGTTTTAAAATTCTTTAAATAAAGAAACAATGATTTCTTTAAAACTTTTTGTTTAATATGTGCATTATATTTGCAGTTATTTCTTGGAACAAGCAAAATTGGCGGCTGTTTCAAGTTCTTGTCGGTTGCGAAAACAAATCAAAAATTCTTAATACTATAAAATATTTTTAACAAGTTCCAGAATTAATTGAAAAAAGTTGAACATATATTCGAACTGAAGTCATGAAACACGTATCAAGTATCACGAATCACGAATCATGAATCACGAAACACGAATTTTTTGGAGGAAGATACATACCAGCCTTAAAACCAAATCCAATTGAAAAAACACAAGCCGCTAAAAAAACGATCCGACCACCGACTCGTCTCTTGCAAAAGTAACCAATGAACAAGAAAACTTGTGTCGTTCTTTCAAAATTAATATAAATACATTTGGCAGCCCATACTCAAATTTGCGTGATGTAACTATATTAATTTGGTTTAGACTTTTTGGACACAAATGAATTTCACAAGGGGATAAATCGGATTAGCACACTATTTAATAGGTAAGCCCACATACTATTTTCATACTACATGTGTTAAATTATAAAAGTTTACAAAGTTCTGACATATTCATATCAAATTCATATAATCATATCAAATTCAATTCATAAAATTACGGTTACATTGATAAGAACAATGTACCGATTAGCATTCTGAGAAGAGCGTCTCAGAAGAACCTATACACTAATAACTCGATTAACAGCTACTTCGTACAACAGTAACCTCGATTAACGACCCAGCTGTATTTCTGATCGTGTTTTGCTTAACAGTGAAGAAAACGACAAACATGTCTTTTATAATGCAAGTAAGAGCTGGTTTGAGAATCAATATACCATAAAACTTTCTGCAAAAGGTACAACATTAAAAATGTCATACTAATGTCAAACAGAGATCAGTCGTGGAAAGAAACAAAAATGTGATCTCTTAAGAAATTTTGGAAGCACTTACGTCTGGAATACGTCGTCAAAACCCTGTGCCTGTACCTGATACCAACGTAAATGAAAAATCTGCTAAATTTGCGGAGAAAGAGGCAACTAGAGATCTCAAAATTAAAGATCTATTTCGTCAGAGTAGCTCGGATTGTTTTTGAGTTCATTATATTAATAATTATGTTAATGATTTTTTATATTTTTTGTGCAATAGGCGGTGATTTATTCAAAATATATCGTTTGGTTTTCCCTTTTGTGTCTATTGATTTATCAATGGCCAATCTTTTGTCGCGAGTGTTATAAAATATTGAAAAATAATTTCATTCTAAAATGATAATGATAAATGCTACATCATTTTGAAGAGCTACTCAATTCACTTTGAAATTCTGTTAATTAGCAACCGACATGTAAATAAGAAATCATACAAACGGATTAAATATAATAGAATTTTTTAATTCACTCTAACCGTAATCGACTCTACCCCATTTACTGTGATTGAAAATCGTAGTATCAATTATCATATATCACAATATTATATTAATCATACAAATATTACAGATCTCTCTCAAAGGTAAAGATGTCTTTAATCTCCGCAATCCAATAATTCTAACGGATATGCCATTTCAATTCAAAAGATTGCAATTCACAATTCTATTGGCGTCTGCAATCACCATCTAAAGCGAGCTTAGTTCAATATTTAGGATACTGTGGTTCAACTCTCAACACAGATAATCTTCCACATGAACAACTATATGTTACTTGTTCTATAGTCCACAAATCGAACAATATATATCTACACTCGCAATGGAATAATAAAATAAAATTATTGATAAAATTTATCAATATTTGGAAAGCGTGCTTTCTAATTTCTTTCTTTTCCATTTAATCAGACAGCCATGTTAACACGTATCTGCGTATAGCTGCTTTTATTAAATATTATATGTATACAACTTTAACAAATTTTATTAAATTAAATGACGTTTATTATTTAAATTAATTAAATTAAAGATTTATTTCAAATGACATCGATAACGATCTTCGCTGATCAGATGAATTGATTTCTTAGGAGGTCTTATCTATGGCTTAGTGAGAAATGATCATTCGAAGTGATAGTAAAGATTTCAAGTTAGTATAATGGCATTCATTGGCTTGACTTGACCTCGACTTGACTACAGTACTATACTTGAGCAGTGATCAATTGTCTATCAATTGTCTGTTTAAAATAACATTCAAATTAAATATGTATAATGTGAAAAAAATATATATTTTATATTAAGTTCATTTTATACCTCATCCAATACATTTATGAATCCTATTAAAACTGAATCCTATTAAAATTCATTTTAAATGAAACAACTAGAAAACTTACTAATACAGAAATTTAATCAACTTTATCAGCCTCTGATTAAAAATCGTATATAGCGATTACAACATTTAACTCACATCGTTGCCTGTACAAATAATTAATCTCCATCTTAAAAAAATTTCAAATAAAATATCTTATTTTCAGGAAAAAGTTGAAACTTTTACAAACGAAAAAGTAAGAACACAATAGAATCATCATAAAGTTGTAATTGATTAAATTTATTAAATTAACAAAGTTCACTGTATAAAAAACATATTTTAAATATTTCTTATTTAAAACCTTATTCTAAAATGTAATTTTGTATTTCAATTTAAATAATACACATTTTTAATTAATTTTATTTTAGATTTTTCTTATTGTACATTACTATACTAATAACATTAGAAATAGTTTGTTAATTAATTTTCAATTTTAACGATCAACACTTTTTTAAGTAAAACACTGATCGGTTCGAATCAAACAGGGTTATTCACGATCTTGTTTATCGAATAATACCCCTACCATATATTAAAAAAATATCATTTAGTAACGGCGATTAAAACCACCACCCCTTTTAAAATCTGTACCACGTCTTTCTTTCATCTTATCAAAACGATTGGACATTCTGTATAGTTCTTCTGGAGCTGCTTGACCAGCTTCTTCTAAAATACGAATGAGATCCTTTGCAACACCCCAATCCGAGCGTGTTATATAACTTATGGCAGTGCCAGTTCGCCCAGCGCGTCCAGTTCTACCAACACGATGAACATACTCCTCAATATTACGCGGAAAATCAAAATTAATAACATGACTAAATGAAAAACAATTAATACAACAAATTCGGTTTCAAATACTACTAAGCACTTACGTAATATCCTCAATATCTAAACCTCTTGAAGCAACATCTGTCGCTATCAAAACCTGTATATCACCTGACGCTATATCAGCCAGTGCTTGTTCTCGATCGGTCTAAAGACAATTTTTTTAAGTTTATAAGTTTATAAATTTTATGTTCTGAGACTGAGATTACTCTAATTAAGTTAATGCATTATGTACCTGATCACGAGAACCATGTATACATTGTGTTGACAGGCCTTTTAGAGATAAATCACTGGACAAATCGTCAGCACGAGCTCGCTTAGAACAGAAGATAATAACCTTATCGG